CCTCCTGGGGACTGCAAGTAACAGCACAGGGGTGCACCAGCAGGTGACACTGTCCGAGTGCCACCCAGCGGACAGGACACAGGGGCCGCTCGGCGCTGCTCCCGAGGCTGGCACGACAGCAGGGCGCACCGTGCACGCCATGGCGTTCCCTGGACAAGCTGCTCCCTGACGCATCTCCCCGGGCTCACCCCAACTAACACTGTGCCTGCTCAGTACCGCACTGTCCGTTCGACTGGAGCCCAGCGGGCAGAGAAAAGCACATTCCCACTGTCACTGCTGGTAGCTGGCAGTGAACAAGCAGCCCCGCTGCAGCTCTCGGCCACCAGCCCGGCCGGGATGAACGGCCAATGGCGGGGAGGGCGCGGATACAAGAAGGGCGAGCAGCGGCAAAGCAGCTCCGCCGTGGTGCCGAGGCCAAGGCGGAGAAGGAGAGGAGCGGCGGCCGTGGCACGGCGGAGAAGAGGCGGAGCGGAGGCGGAGCGGTGCCGGGGCCGGGGCCGGGCCATGGCGGAGAAGGGGCGGAGCGGCGGCGGTGCCATGGCGGAGAAGGGGCGGGGCGCTGCGCTGAGGGTGCTGGGGCTGAAGGAGCGGCTGCGCTGTGCGCAGGAGCCCGGCGAGGTACCCCGGCATGAGGCCGAGCGCCGGGCTGTTATTTGTTTCTATGTTCATAAGGGCTTTTCTGGGTAAATAGGTGCTTCTGTTTTGTTTTAATGCCGCACATCAAGAGGAGCGGGGGCTATCGTACCCTGCCTTGTTATTCTTCCTGGCCCAAGAAGGACCAAGGTGTTCTTGTGAAACAACCTCTGTAGGTTGGGAGRGCTGCTCAGTAGATGGCGAGGAACACCTGAGGCAGGCAGAGATCAGTGGGGAGCGCCATCAGAGCGGGTGCTGAAGCTGTGCCGGGCACTCAAGGAGCAGGGGGKCACGGCCAGGCTGTGGGACAGAGGGACCAAGGCACCCCCCGCTCTCGGGGCACTCCCGAGGAACGGGCAGCAAACCGCATGGGCCAAACCTGCCTCAATGTTTTATGAAGTAATAAGTCACACTTGACTGAAGAAAGTGTAGTCAAAAGAGTAATATGCTTTTCGCTTGGTTTGGGTGGTTTGG